AAACAGGAGCGCGCGCGAGCGGCTCCGAAAATGTAACTACCCCCGTCCTGAACAAACGAGTCGACGATAGGAAATAGCTTCTGTTTACTTTAATTATCTTGGGGCCACACTGGAAACTCGCCTTTGTTCGAAATATCGCGGAGCCGCGACGAAAGTCTCGGCCGATCGAAAATTCGAGAGAGAGAGAGAAGAAACGACGCGACTCTTCATGTGTATTATGACATAGTAGCGTGTCATTAACGATCGTATAAATTCAAAAGCGAGCAGAGCGACGGGTACGCGAATATACCGCGTCGCCTAATTAAAGGGTCAGGCGGAAGGAGAACGGTAATCACGCGGCGTGCCGGAGCGTGACTTCCATTTTTCTAGCTGTTATCGTCGTTACGTGAGGCTGCACATATGTGACGCGAGAGAGGATCGGGGGAATCGGCGCGTATAATACACCTCGGAAGGTTATTTTCCGTCGGAAACTTTTGGCGAATATACAATACCCGGCCTACAGCGTTTACGGAGAAAATTTCCAGCTTTTAAAATTTACCCTCCCTGAAGATCATGTGTTAATCGTGCAGGGACAATATAGTATTTCGGCAAATTTTGCTGTGAACTACAATAAATTTGTTATAGTATATATTAAAAAAATATATAGTGAAAAAAATCACATAAAATTCGTCGAAATACTATATTGTCCTATGATTAGCACGAGATTTTCAGGATAAATTTTAAAATAAAATTCTCTCCGTGTAGCTTAGAATATTTCCTCGGTCGTTCGCGAGACATTCATCCGCATCTGATGAATGGACAACATTATTATTATTATTAGGTTATATAACTTTTTCCCTGGGAAACGTGAAAATTACTATTGAAATTAACCTTCAAATGGCACTTCTTTCGAGCACTCAATAATGGAACATTATAACACTGATGCCATGACTGTAGCAAATAGTCGCGATAGATACTTTGTGAAAATGTCAATATGTCAAAAATTTTCGCGGTGCAAATTCGCGCTCTTGTACCATTTGAAGGTTAATAGAGGAGTATTTTTAACTGCGTTCACGTTTCTATTTGTACTTTCGCGGGAAAAAGTTTACGTGACCGGCACCCTGCCTGCCGAAGCAGAGAATTCAAGAGGAGGTCGCCGAAGGGAACACAAAGGGGGCGTCCGTCGGACGCGTCCCGTCTCGTGCGGGGTTTGAACCCCGCATTAAAAAATCGCAGTCACGCACACTTGCTCGCTTCTGTCCTGAGTCGTCGGGTATATTTGGGCCGCGCGCCCGGACCGTCGCTTTGTTGTCCCTCCTCGCTCTGTACTCGTCGCGTGTTCCTTTTGCACGCACGTCCGTTCCTTCCGCGGGAAGACAACGCGGGCGATAAACCCCGTGACACAGCCTCGGTCCCTGTTCTTTTTATTATTTGGCCTCGCCGGCCGAATGTCCGGAGCCCCGTTCTCTTTCGCGGTGCGCGCGCGGCAATCTACGACCGGGGCCGCGGCGGGTACAGAGCGTTGCTTCGCGAACGAGGAACGAACGGGGCCCCGTAAAACACGGCGTTACAAACCGTCGTCGGACTCTCTTTTGTTCCACGGTATCACGGGCGAGCGCGAGCGCCGCTCGCGTGTATGTTTCCCTTTAAGAGCGCGCCGAGTTGACATGCGCGGCATTTCTTCCCCCCCC